CGAAACTTTTAATATATTCCGAAACTTTTAATATATTCCGAAACTTTCAAAATTTTTCGAAGCTTTCAGAAAATATGTGGAAGCTTTGGGAGTTTTTCGGAAACTTAAAAAAATCTAGAAACTTTTAAAAAACCTTCGGAGAAAACCAACAAACATTCGCAAACGTCCAGAAAACTTTCATTATCTGAAAAAACTTTCGGAAACTTTCGAAAAATTTTCGGAAACTCCCAAAAACAGTCGTAGGCTTCCATTAAAATTCCGCAAACTATAAAAAACTTTCGGAACATTTAAAAAACTTTCGGAACCTTTAAAAAACGTACGGAATTTTCAAAACATTTTTGGAACTTTTCAAAAACTTATGCAACTAGTCCAAAACTTTCGGAACTCTTCATGACCTTTGCGAAGTTTTCAAAAACTTTCGTAAAATTCCCGGAAGATGTCAAACGTTGTTGGGAATTTTTGTATAACTTCTAGAAATTTTTATATTTTTTTGAATTTTTTTGGTACCCAAATTTTTGAAAGCTTTAAAGAGATATTAAATATTTTTCAGAAATTTTTCGTAAGTTTTTGAAAATTGTTTCGGAAATTTCGAGTTTTTTTCCAAACTTTTAAAATTTTTTCGAAGCCTTTCATAGAGTTTTCGGAAACTTGAATTTTAAAGTTTGTTTAGGAATCTTGGGCAAGCAAAAATTGTTCTTTGCGCGAAATATCGAGACATGATGTGGTTTATTTTATTTCTTGCTTTTGACAATATTATAAAATGTATACCCGGTGGAGTCTGTGGCTTACCTTATCAGTTGGAAGTGCTTGCATTCTGATGAGAATATATCATGGATTATTGACCTTCCGTCGGTTTCTCTAATAACTATTATATGAATCTGTAAATCACACAAACTACTTTCCCAGACGAGTAAACGAGCTATTGTAACCGGTACGCACGTGTGCGTGGGTGCAAAAAGTTTTAAGTAAAATTTCTTCACTTGCCATCACATATGGTTTTTATTTAATTCAATCTCTTACATACACTTTCATTTTATCGCTTCATTTACTTTTGTATTCTTGGACATATTTTTCTTTTATTTTAGTTTCACTTTACTTTGTCTGCTTTACTGAATACTGAATACTGAATTCACACATTGCAGCGTGGGTGCGCGTGTAGGTTTTATATGGCAATAACTTTATCAAGAAGTTATTGTTTTTATTTACATACAAATCGCGGGTGCGTTTTGGACGAAGTCGTCGCCTCAGTCGACGTCAACGATTGTTAAGTTCTTTCTGCCGCATTCCGCAGTGCTCACCAATTCACACTCAATTGTTGTTTGCGATTTCCTCGGCAGCAGACAAGAGAAAATTAATATAAATGTGTGCAGCACATATACTACAAACATATTGATAACTGATTTCTTTGAATTAAGTATTTTTATTTTTACTTTTTCTTTCATAATTGATCGATATGTTTTTCAGCTTTTTATTTTGTATTCGCTCCACGTAATCAGTGAAGTGGCCATGTTCATATATTTTGCGCAGAAGTTTTTTCTTGTTGTTGCAGTGCTTTCTATATATAATTTATTGCCATTCTACAATGTAGTAAATTATCACTCAGTTCTCATTCTCTTTTTTATCTACCCTTTTTTTTTTGTTTGTTTGTATTCGCAAGCACTGTACGGTATTTTTCTCCGAACTTCCCTTACTCATCTCATCTTTCCTCGTCCCAACTGCTCATGGAAGACTCAAAACATTCATAATGAAAATCAATTTTCATGTATTGGCCGTTGATAACAATAATGACATGCCCACACATACATGCACACACACACACCCTTTAGTGCAATTAAAAAAGCAAAACTCCATTAATAAAAATA